TAATGTCACAAAAAAAAAAAAAAAAAAAAAAAAAAAAAAAAGGAAAATCACAAATGAGTTGTTATATTTTTGACTCTATCGTGACATTTTGGATACATTTGTTTCTTAGATAACCTTTTATTTAGTCAGAGCTTATCTGCTGTGAAGATAAAGCATTCAAGAGCTAAATCAACCTGCAAACATAGCTGCTCATTAAGTGAAGCAAAAAAAAAAAAGGTGCTATAATATTTAGTCGCATAAAATGAAACGAGATACTTGCCTTTTCCATCTTCTTTAAAGGTGTTTTTGGATAGTTTCTCCTAGTTAGTTTTTTTCCCACAATACAAATACATCTAAACTTTAAAATCCTGTCATAAACCATTAAATTAGAGTGTTACGTAACGCCAGATAAACTCGTGCGCGCGTTTCAGAGGAGCTAAAGTGTAAGAGCGTGCACGCACACCCTGCTGTTAGCTGATTGGCTGCCTCACGGTTCATTTCAGGTTACGTCCCAGAGGGATTTTCCCAACCACAATACTTTGTTTTCAACAAGCTCTAGCTGATGCCAACCTTCAATTTGGAACCACTTTTTAAGCATCGTTTCGAGACACACGGTGTAGTGTAAATCACTCGTTTATTATTATAACACATGCATGCAATTTCAAAATTTCAATGCAAAATAACACAAGGAAACAACCGATGGCGCTAAATACATTTTCACCCATGCACAGAGTCAACCGACTATGAAACTATGAAACTGGAATCACCTCGGTGTTCTCTTGCTTAAAACTGCAATTGTTTTTCAACCACACAAAGGTTTATTTGTGATCAGAGTTTTGGACTTGAGTGCAGAGACTGAGTTAAAGAGAACACATGATGAAAGTACAAAAGAGAACTTGTATAAGGCAGAGAGGGCAGCCTGTGGAAAATGGCACATCAGATGCTTCTTAAATCCCCCACTTCTGTGTTTGCAGCTAAGCTCGCTGCTGTCTTTTAAAAGTTTTAAAAAAATAAACCTGGAAAACAAAGCAAAAATTTACACCGTAGTTTGTAGCGAGCGTGATAGTTACACAGGAAGTAGATTCAGTTCCTGCCTGTGCAGCTGCCGTCATTTACGTTCAGCAAAAATAAACTTTAGAAAAACAATACTGGACATTTTCAATCCATAAAAACACAAAGCATCAGAGGATGTTTTGGGTTTTTTTGCTTCCAGTGTTGGCTTCACAGTAGTTTTACAGATACAGCTGTTACCATATGGCCATCTTTCAGCTATTTTTGCCATGTTTACATGACTTAGTAGCAGCACAGTAGAGTCCCAGCTCTACTGATGCACACTGGTGGGGCCTGAACACCCACAGCTGCAGGAAAGGTTTAAGATTATAATATGACTAAACTAGCATGTATATATTTGTATAAAAAAAACACAGCGTGATCGCTCACAGTCAAGACCCATTGCACTTCCTTTAGCACCAACAATGTCCACTTGGGTTAAGGTGATAAATTCTGACAGGTGTCCAGGCTCTGAGGTAGCAAAGCAGCTCCAAACCATGATGGTACCTCCACCGTGCTTCGCTGTTGGGGTGAGCTTTTATTTACTGTTGTCCAAAAGACTGAGTGCTCAGATATAGTCTTTTCCAAATATGGCATGTATTGTAGTGTGCTTTTCTTCCTCAGGTTCTTCCAATAACATCATTCTTAAGTGTTTTTCTTATGGTAAACTTTATTCAGCTGTTTGGAGGTGTTTTTGTCATTACCCTTGGTTTCTTTTTCACCTCCCTGGCAAGGTGGCAGCTTTCCTGAATATTCTCTGAGAGTTCTTCTTAGTGGGACTCGAAAAACATTTTTCCAGTTTTGTGAACCTGCAAATGCTTCTAAGTTCCTGGGAAAGTCACCGAAACGAAAGCGTGGTTCACCCCTTCCAGGTTTTCTTTAAAAGGGCAGATTTTTATCAAGAACCAGGCTTTGTTTGCTCTCTGATCTCATTGAGGTGCTTTTTCAGATTCACGTCCATTCTCCAGCCTGGGCCTGGGAGTTATTTCATCTTTTATAACATCATGCAAAATCCAGTTTGTGCTTCATTAGTTTAGCCAGATTGTGTTTCTCTGCAGTTGTGAGTGTGATGAAGGTCAGGCCACATTTTCCGAGTAAGTTATGATGAAATCTGTGCACTTCCAACTGAGTGATCTGCCTACACAAAGTCTCTTGTTCTTAACAGTAATACTGATAGCTGAAGTGGAGATTTGATTCTTCTCTGGAAACATAATCAGGCTAAGCTCCTATTTCACAAAGCCGAGACCAGATAAACAGAAATCTCCTCCCAATGTCTGCCTTCGTGTTTTTACACAGGTTTGTCGAGGGTGATGCAAATCACGCTGAGATCTTAGGAGGCTACTAAGCCTCTCTCCTTTCAGGAAAGATATTCAACCCCAGTTCCACCAGCGCCCCCATTAACATGGTCCACAGTGGTATGCACACAAACGTCAGCTTCACGTCGGCCAGCCTTTCCAGCTTGGCGCACAGCGTCAGGCAGAAGCCGAGCTTCAGCAGCATGGCCGTCAGGTACCAGCTACGCAGGCGCAGGTCTGGAGAGCCGTTGCGCGGATCGTATCCCGGCTTGCAGCGGCCTGCCATCTTGATGGCGAGCATGAGGATGAGGATGCCATCAAAAACCCAGACAGGGAGAAAGATGAGGAACCAGTTCCACTGCACCTGTAGAGAGGAAAGGGAGAAGATGTTGAGGATAGTTGAGGTTGTTGGGAGGAATGTGTCACTGGATGGAGACTAGGTGGAGATTGCTGATGAAGCTATGAAAACTGTTACCTTTCCATCCAATTTGAGCACCAGCATAATGAGGAAAACCAGGGTGAAGACCCAGGTCAACAAAACCCTCTGAGCCAGAGACATCTCACTCAGTGGAGACCAGAGGAGACAGACAGAGGCTGCACACAGACAGACCACATGTGCACGTGTTATAATCAGAAAATATGTTAAATAATGATAAATGCATGCTTTTGTAGCATAAAAAGTGGATTTAAAAACTGACAGCAAGGCAGGAATCAGAACTAACTGGATTATTTGGTGTCAGCTATGCTCTCCATTGCAGCATCAAACAACATTTCGCTGATGGCCGCTTTGAAATTATAATTTAATGCCATAATTGTATTCATTGTCAGATTAAAAACGCTGCAATTAGAGCTAGCTGTTACAGACTAATAGCATTATGCTAATCGCTGGCTGTGACTTACTTTAGTGTGTTTCCAGCTCGGCAGACAGCATCTTCCTTCCACTGTGTCCTACGCATTCACATTCTCATATCGTTTCTTATAGCCAGTCATGTAATTATCAGCAAACGTGTCCGTTAATAATAATAGACTGGGAGATTTTTTTAGGTCCGTTATCCATACGGGTCCCGCCTCTCCTGGGAGCCGATTGGTGCTCCTCACGTTTGTTTTAATGTCCATCACGCTGCGTTGTAACCGTAAAGAGTTCACGAATGCGCAAAGCAGTTGGTGGGTTTTCCTGTAGTGAGTTTTCACGTCCACTAGAGGTAAGTAAAGTTCTTTTTATTTTTTCCCCCGGCGTTTCTGATTATATCCTATTCGTCGTGATGGTATTTAAAATTTTAACCCTGTATTTTCTCGTTTTTTGACTTTCGAAATACTTATTGTATTCATGTGTGACCCTAGTCTTCTTTCCTATTTGCCAACCATCGATGGCGATTATTTGCTGAAAATATAACTGTGCCTTTATGCGGCGGTTTACGGTAAGGGGGCCGAAGTAGTATTTTTACAGTGAGAGACAGAAAGGGAAAGGCTAATGCTTGAAACACTGGCGAGCAGATACTCAGCATCTCCTCCAGACAATGGACAAGGCTGGCTAGCTCAAGTTCATTATAAACTACGCTTAGAAAGCGCGCCTGAGCTCTGTGTGTGGACTCGGAGCCGCCTTCGCAGTCAAAGAGGTAAGACTGAGCGGCTGCACGGCGCGTTTAGACGGCAGTAATCAGGGTTTCGGGGTTAAAGACAGCTGTGTGGGCTGTTATGCCTGCCGGTGGCTCAGCTAACATATAGCCTGGCAGAAGGGAGGAGGACCGTCTGTATATGAACCAAGACAACCACGAAGACTGCCCGAAAGCACAGTGGCTGCTTCCAGCTACATGCCAGCTAGCATCAAAATTAGCTGCATGTGTTTCCCCACTCATAGTGGACCGAGCTTTACTTCACAGTAATGCAAACGTTGACATTTTTAGCCTGTGTTTTACTTCCTCTACCTCTTTGCTATTTTTAAATCTTCCACATCAATGTTATTAAGGATAAGATTTTTAGTACAATCCTTTCTCACAGTACTTCTATAGCAAGTAAAAAGATTAAAAAAATCAACTGAGAAAGCAATCAAACTTGTTTAAAAAATAAAATAGGCAAGTAGGGTTGCTGTTAACTATCATCTTTATAGTAATACCGTTTATTGCATGGCATTTTGTTAGGCTCTGACTGATTTACTACTTAAGCTAAACTGCTGTGTGAAAGTATTTCCCTGCTTTTTTTTTTTTTGCACATTTGTCACACTTGCATGTTTCAGGTCAACAAATTTTTATATTAGACAGTGATAAGCTGAGTAAAAACAAAATACAGTTTTTAAGTCCTGGTATCATTTATTAAGAGAAAAAGCTATCCAAATCTACCTGAAGTTAAGTAAAAAAAATAATTGCCCCCATGTGATTAACCACATTATTTTTTGGCCAGCTGAGTTCAATTTAACTAGCCACACCCAGGCCTAATTACTGCCAGGTCTGTTGACTCGTGAAATCGCTTCTCTAGAACCTGTCTGACAACATGAAGAAGGCTAAAAGATTTCAAAAAGAAACTGTTCGTCTCACAATCTAACGTGAAACTGAAGAACTGATGCGAAGCAAAGTCGTTGACATCTATCAGTCTGGAAAAGGTTATCTCTAAGAATTTGAGACTTCAGTGAAGGACAGTGAGAACCATTATCCAAAAATGGAGAGAACTTGAAATGGTGTTGACCCTTCCCAGGAGTGGCCAGCCTATTAAATAAAAATACTCCAAGAGTGCACCAGTTGAACACCAGCTGAATTCTTTGGAATGTCTGAGTCCCGTTACATCAGGCATAAAACTAACACAGCATTTCACAAAATGAACGTCATGATGTGTGTGTTTCTGTGACTTCCTGTGTAAACATGATCAACATTCAAACATGGTACTGTGATGGTCTGGGGCTGCTTTGCTTCTTCAGGACCTGGACAGCGTCCCGTGATTGATGTAATTATGGATTCTGCTCTATGTCCGGCCATCAGTTTGTGTCCTGAAACTCAAGCTCGCGTTGGTTATGCAAATTTTCCAAAACACACCAAGTCCACCTCCAAATAGACTTGAATCTGATTGAGATGCTTTGACCTTGAACAAGCTGTTCACACTTGGAAAAACTCTCCAGTGTGGTTGATTTAAAACAACTCTGCAAAGAAGAATGAGCCGAAATCCCTCCACAGTAATGTGAAACGCACAACAAATTATTTAAAATCAGATTTTTCTTTACGAGTTTATCTTTGCCTGATATGTAAAATGTGTTTGAGCTGAAACATGCACATGTATCAAGCAAAAACAGGAAGAAGTCTAGAAGGAGGCAAATGCGTTTTCACTTTATTTAACTACGAAGACCCATTTATATCAAATCTGGTTCAAGCTATACAAACACAATATTTAAAAAAGCGGCAAATACAGTGAAAGGTAGCCTATAGGACATAAAATGGCACAAAAATTACTAGTGCCCTCCTACACAGTCTTTTAAATCAATTAAAACATGCATCTGAGCAGCTATAATTTTATGTCTGTTTTTTGTGGCTGTCCATAAACATTGCATTTCTTTTAACCAGCCAACTGCTTGCAGGCATACAAGTAATCGGAAGCCATCAGGGTGCCTGTAGTCTGCTAAGCTGTAAAGTACTCTGCTGCATGTGCTGCAGATATTGCTGAGGGCTACAGCAATATCTGTGTATCTCAACTAACAGATGTGCCAATATATGTGATAGGCCAGTAACAGCAGTTTGCCTCGTGCTCATCTACATTATTCAAATCTTTATCTGTCTCTTCTACTCTATTTTACTCTGCTTTAAAACCTGTTAGTGACTGTGTCAGAGAAGTGAAACTGCTGCAGGCTTCTGCAGGGGGTCAGGCTCTCAATTTGGCAGCCCTACTGATTATCCAACAAGGTTATCGTTGAGCCAGTCTGTCTGCTCCAATGTCTGACTAACAAAGTCATCGCTCACCCAGATTTCTATCTGCAGTCATAATTCGACCTCTAAATTAGTCCGCTGTGTCACACCGGTTGAGTCTCTTTTAAGCCTAAAAATCACTTTTTCCTATTAAGCTGTACACGCTGAAGAAGCAGATCAGATTATCCTGATTATCCTTACGAACACGGTGACAACAGCAGTAAAAATTATCAGCTGCTGAGTTTTTTCCGCTGTTGGAGCAGTTATACCTGACTGTGTTTGCAATTCAGCCAGGAGTGGAACATTTATTTTATTTTATTTTTTTAAATCAAACTGCAAGTATGTGACTTGTGCAACAGCTAAGCAAACCTTTAATTTCGCTTGCTGTGAACCCCATGTTAAGCTTATACTGTAGGGCCTCGTATTCGGGGTAGAGAAATATAGTTTTCTTAGACTCAATATGGTTATGTTAGTCATATGATCATCAAAAGGAAGGGGTTTTCCCCAAAAGGAGCTACTAGGAACTACCTGTTTAACAAGAAAAAAAACTGTGAATGACATCCGAGATCTCACTTAAATCCCTTATAAAGTGCCTTCGAGCAAGGCAGTTCAGTGCTCGTTTTCCTGCCTCGCTGCAGGAAGCTGTGGTTCAAAAGTGCAGTTTGTTTGTTTCTTCCTGACAGAAAGTAGATTACTGATATCACTTTTGTGTTATGTTGCATATTCAAAAATTCACTGCGGTGTTGCACACACATGGGATTCCTGTTAATGCACAGACACACAAACAGGGTAGGACTAGGCAGCTCGTGTGCCTTTAAAACACTGATTAATCATCTGCTGGTCCACTAATACAACTCAGACCATGTATCTGCGCCGCATCGTGGTGTGCGCACACAAATGTGACTTGTAGAGAATGACTCCCTCGTTGAGTGACCTTCTGTATATTTTTACACCCTTTGGACTGGCATTGCAAGAGTCTCTTGGTCCTGCAAGGCCTTAATTGTCATTTGTCTTCACCTGACAAAGTGTGGATGAAGGCATGTTCAAGGCTGGCTAGAGAGAGATCCCACTTCTTGCATATGTTCTCTGGGCTGTTATTTCTAGCTGAAGTTATTAAAGTAATTTAAAATAAAAGCGGTGTTTCTGTAAATAGTTTCTACTTTTGCACACGTGAGAGTGCATTCTCTGCATCTCTATCTCATCCTCACCTAGTCTCCTTAGTTGTCTTCTTGTTGCATTCCCCCTCCATTTATTTGTCTCTTTGAGGAGCTCTGAGACGATGGATTGCATTTTGTTTCGTGGAGCGTGAATCTGCCTGCAGAGCTTGTTATATCATCAGCTGCAACACGGTTATATCACACACTCATCTGCTATATTATTTTATGCTACGGCTGCAGCTTGGCCTGCATGGAAGTGATATCATGCGTAGAAATAAAGTCACTGCAGTGGTGATTGTGAGCAGAAAGGTCAGTTGACCTCATAATCACTAAACCATTTCTTTGTTATCACCTTAGCTGTACTGCAGCTAAAAGAACAGTCAGTAACAAGGTGGCAGTGACCAGAAGCTGCAGTTGGGACTC